AAGTCTAAAAATTATGCTAATGAGGAGTGACGCGTCTACTAGTCTGCGATGCATAGGCGCTTTATATATACTTCAATTACAAACGTACAAGTGATCTGTGGCGTCCATTTTTGATTAATTTTCATCAGTTTCGCAGTAGAAATTTGATTAAATTCAACAAATATTAAAAGCTTTTTACATTAAACAAAAAATGTAACAATGCATATAATATGCACATGCCAAAATTTTTCGATTCATTGCTTATCGCCTGAACCTTCTTAATTAGAAAATGTTAACATTTTCATCGCTGGGAGTTGTGGCGTGCTCCTGTAATCCAGCTACCTGGAGGCTTGGTTTGGTGGACTGTTTGAGGGCGGGGGTCCTGCTTGCAGGTGCACTATGTCGATCGGGCGTCCGCGCTAAGTTTGGCATCAATATGGCGACATCGGGGGAGCCCAGTGTCACCAGGTTGTCTAAGGAGGGACGAATCGGCCCAGGGTGGAAACACAGCAGGCAAAAGTCCCCGTGTCAAATAGTAGTGGGATCGCGCCCGTGAATAGGCATCCGTTGGTAGCTCGTCCAACATAGTGGAACCCATTCCTTTTAGTTTTTATTGTTCTTTTATTTTTTTATTAATTACTCAAACTCTAAATTTGCACAGTAATTAAAATTAATAATCTCCGTTGACATTTATTATAAAGTATATTTTAGCATTATAGTTTAGGTAAATTTCAACATTTCCCCCCCCCTAAATTTTAGCATTCGATCATGTTCGTTTAGCCAGAGACGTATATACATATATACATCTCTGATTTAGCTTGAAAAACTCAAAACTAATTTTGGTATGATTAAAAAACCCGTTGCTGTCTATAGAAAAGCAGAATAGTATTTTTACCAGGCGATATACTGTACTCTCAATCTAGGAAAGGATTAATCCCAGGTTTTTCCTGAGTGAGTGACTGCAGTGAAGCCTGGGAAAACTCTGAATTTTCTGTCAAGATTTATCAGGTGGGAACCATTATAAATGATTGTCATTAATTTTGAATGTTTCCATATAAAAATCAAATCCAACACTTCTGGTTTACTAATCTAGACGACACTTTACCGATTGAGCTATGGAGAAGTTCTCCCTGAGCCAAGTCAGTAAGAAACATGCAGCAAGTCTTAAGCTTGTGTCTGGGTGACTATATGGATGTGACAGAGTAAGCTTGTGTCTGGGTGACTATAGATGTGACAGAGTAAGCTTGTGTCTGGGTGACTATAGATGTGACAGAGTAAGCTTGTGTCTTGGTGACTATAGATGTGAGAGAAATCTCCTACCCGAAAGGGCGATGTTTTTGGGTTGCCCTTGTGTAGTTACCCGAGGGTTAGACAATCAAAAGAATCACCCCGAGGGTTGGAGATGATTATTTTTCTCCCATCCTATTATTATATGAATATAAACTTTATTTATTTTACAATTATGAAATTAGTTATTTCAACTTATATTCATCATTGTTGGCCCGGATGTTAGCGCGAGGAGGGTCTTAGTGTGGGAGGAAACCGGAGTACCCGGAGAAAACCGACATGGTCGGACAGGTCACTCACAGACCCCAACCTTTTCACGTCTGATCGAGGATTCAAACCCCGGCCACCTTGGTGAAAGGCAAGTGCTATATCCACTGCACCACTCGACTACATGATTATTTCAGTCACAATTCTACCGACAGAAGTCTGTTTGTAAACTAAACAAAAATACATGTAGGGTATGAATATCGTCATTCACTTTTGATGACGTAACAATTGAACTCGTGCTAATCTAGACTCCCTCGGATCTGCCGTATAGAATTTGGTGCGTTTAAAATTGTTACCTTCAGGACTTTTGCATTAAATATTAATTTGAGTTTCCAATGGTTGGTCAGGCGGCACAGTGGATAGCGCACTTGCCTTTCACCAAGGCCGCCAGGGTTCAATTCCCTGATCGGACGTGAAAAGGTATGGGGTGATTATACCCGCCTGACCACGTGGGTTTTCTCCAGGTATGCCGGTTTCCTCCCACAATAAAGACCCCCCCACACGCAAACATCTAGGAAGACAAGAGTGTAAAAAGTTATTATACATTTTTCTTCAATGAAATATTGGCTCAGAAGGATCTCTGTCCTAATGTTCTGTGTTTTTTTCGTATATACAGTTACCTCCCCTTAATTTTGTTTTAGATATAACTGTAGCACTCAGGCAGCTCAGAGCCACAGTATAACAATTTGAAGTGCACGGTTCGAATCCTGGTGTAGCCACACTGAATTTTAACACCTAGAACACTTATTGTTAATTATGTTTTATTTATTTCATCTCCATTATGTTTTCATAAAAGTCCCACAAGGTAATTACTTTTCTTTTCAAAAATGATTGATCAAAGCTATGGTCTTATTTATCTAATACAGTTTCATTTTATGTTGCTGGTACGAGCGCATCCTTCAAGTAAAAGCTAATGCTAACGAAAGACTGGTCCTAATTAAATTTTCACCGACCCACGACCCCTGTTAACAGTATCATTTCAATATTGACTACCTATAATTGAAAAAATAGCACATAACATTTATTTTTATAAAGGTGTCATGATGTCTGCCTAGCTGGACATCAAAAAGAGTTTGTCTGGCTGTATCTTCCAATTCGGCTAGCTATATCTTCTAATGTTATTCATTTAATTAAATCTTAGGCCTTTGATTTTGTGAAAGATATAAAGTATATGAAACTCATTCTATCCTATAGTGCTGAAATGATTTCATCACTTACAATGTAAGTGTCACAGAATTCTTGGGTAAGGTGACTTAAGTTGTAGATAAGAAAACATATGTAAGTGGTGGTTCACTAGGTGACAAACATGTGCTATAGGTATGAATTATTTACTCTCCTTTGTATACAGTCTTATAGATAAACCTAGTACGAACTAAAAATGTCGTTATGATCCAATAGCAGCTAGCAAAAATCATCGCATGTGAATATTTTCCAATCAGAAACCATACAGGTCTTTCTGCGAAACTGTTTGAGCAATCGGGGACCAACCATGACGTGGCATATTCAAATTGTGATGAAAATTTCCAAATGGTTTCTCATTGATGGTACTGCAGGTAAACCATAGAAAACAAAATCTTGTTCCGCAAAATGGCTGTTTTATCATTTGGCTGAAGAACAGCAAATCACGAAGAACGATAGCATATTACTGTCCGTGTTGTTTTGAAAGTTCATATGAGCATAGAAAAGCGTCTTTTTAATACAGTACTTATGATGGTATGCAACACAATTCCGTTTTTCTCCAAGAAGCTGTATCGCTAATCATGGAATATGTACATAATGTATTTCAAGCCTTAACAAAATCGAGGGCTACTGTAACTCAAAGTTATAGATCGCAAAAAACAAGAGGGAAGATTACTGCATGAAGTTATAATACAAAGACACCTGAGGTAAGGCGACTAAAAATTATAGCACTCAAAAACCTTGTGTTAATAATGAGGTGACTAAAGTCATAGATCACAGAAACCTGGGGAGAGGTGACTAAAAGTTATACATCACAAAAAAACTATGGTAAGGCAACTATAAAAGTTATAAATCACGATGATCTTATATGACTCAAAGTTGTAAATTTATTTAATGTTTAGTTGACCAAAGGACAAGTTTAGTAAATTATTTACTAGTCCTATGCCAGTTTAGCTAGTCACAGATTTCCTGCATGGAACATAAAAAAGAAATTGACTGTAGGGGACACAAATAACTACTGTCACTATGGTGAAGTGTTAGGAAAATTTGGACAATTTTCATGCAATATATCTGTATTTTAAACAGTTTTCCAAAAGGAATATTTTTATTCCATAATCTATGCTAAACAGATGATATTGTTTCATCATTTTTTTTACTCAGTTAAAAGGACCAGTTATGTTTCGTCATTCACTAGTCCTTGCTGAAATCTACTGAGGTCTTGGACTGTAGGGCTAGTGTTAATGTCGAACCCTGAAAAGTGAAAATAAAACCAGGGATGATGTGATGGAGGGATATAGATAATAATAATTATAATTTGAGGTTCTTATATACCTTTTTATCACAACCTAGTTCATACATCGTCTCAAAGAGATTCACAAATTCTTATCCGTGGTTAAAGGGCCTTTGCAACCAGCCAACATCTTTCGCAACTCCCTGGGGAACATACAGCCGGTGCTGCCATTTCGGCACTCACAGCTAGCATATTCAACCATTTTAATCACATACTCATTTACAGCTGAGTAGACTGGAACAAGCAGAGTAGATTATCTTACTCAAAGATACAACACAGTGCCGTGCCGTGACTCGAACCCGCAACCCTTCGGTCACTAGACCAGCATCCTACCACTAGACTACTGTGCCTCCTAGATTACAGATGCCAATGTAAAAGATTTATTAAATGAGGGGCAGACAGGCTTACACCCTCTTGATATCAACTCAATAACCCTCAATGATCAGCCTCTAAAAAGTCCAAAAACAGTTGTATTGATATTGTTATTTTTGGAAAGAAGTTTTGATTTTCTTTATCAAAAGAGGTTTATACATGCAAGGCAAAATATTGTATATAATGGGACAATTCAACATGCCTAGAGGTACCCTATACCAGGAAATATTCAATGCCGTTTAACTTTCATCTTTTTTGCCTTAATTGAAAATGTCAAATTAATGATGAGAGCAAATATTTAATATACACCATAGGTAGCAAATACGTTGAAGGGGCGAAAATAACACTGAACGAATATATAGATTTTAACAATGAAAGGTAAACATCCCAGGTTTACAATACTTGCATACAAAATTTGGTAATTGTACGTAGGTGACATGACTTGATGAGATGTGCTCTTGACAAAGTAACGTATGCATTGACTAACTGACGACGATTAGATGGAAAACATCTCATATATTAATCGCCCACAATATGTATGCTATTCCATGTCATGAAACAAAAACAAACTCAAATATTTCTATTTTTATATGTTATTTATTTCATTTTTTTTTTTTCATTTTCATTTTTTTAATGAGCAATCCACTCTAGTAACAAAATATTTTACTCAAAAGAGTTCTCTGTAAAAAAGATTTAACAAGATGAAATAGCAGGTCCATTAAACTCTGTCAATTCTGCAGAGGAACCATTAACAGCAGTTAATTTATTTTATACATGATATTTTAATTCAAAAATAAATATAAAAGAACTTAATAAAATAAGATTGTAGTTCTGTACACAGTAGAGGACGGAATGAAAATTTACTACAACATGTCGCTAAGTTTTGTACAAATTATCAGTTACGGACGGAATGTTTTATAACTGTTTTGTCCACATTCAGTTAGGGACACAATATGTCTTTAACAATATGTGCTGACAAGTTTTGTTCAACAGTTCAAGTAGAGGCTGGAATGCCTAAAAGATTTGACAGTCAAGTAAAAATATAAGTTTTAATCTTAGATATCACGGTTATAAATGAGATCCATCGATTGTCTATCTGAATGTTAATTGTTAAACTTAAAATAAATAGATAAATAAATACAGTATTATGTATATTGACTATTTTACAGTACCGCACAAGTCTTTAATTGTCATATCATGTAACTGGAAGAAAGGTTTGGACAGATTTCTTTGGATACAATTATTGTAAGGGCAATGCAATTAAGTCATATATAGTTCAAATATGTACAAAATGTATATAGACATAGCTGATACAGTGTGTCTATTATGCAGTACATGTATATCATTGAAATGGTGACAAAAGATTGCTTTTCCTTGATGACATAAACGTTAAAATCAATCAAATATTTTTTAATTTCCAATTTCTTTGTAAATATCATCACGCTTCAACACTGAAACTCCTTCTGACCGGTATTTTTTTGTTATTGTTTATCACAGAAATGGCTTTATACAGAATGTTTCTGTCACACTAAGATCCTGAAGGAAGCAATATTGCCAAACACTATCTCCCACTTAATTCAATCGCTGGTCATACAATGTATTTCATTCTTGTTTGTAAAAAATGTGCTTTTTGTTATAGTCTTTTGCTGAGGTACACAAATTGTCTGTGATAGTGGGCGTTGCCACCTTGAAGCCACGCCCCTTTTTAGTCAGTGTTGAGGATGAGACACACACCCTGTAGTGACCAATGGCTGATGTGTTCTGTGGTGGCCAGATCTGCTTCAAACACCAAACCGACGCCCATAGCGTTTCTTCTCTGTGAGGTTACATACACTGGTGTCTTGAATGTGTTCTGTCAACGAAAACATACACACTTCAATAATACTTCAGTAATTTATACACAATTTTGTATGGTTTAAAATAAAATCTTTGATTCACCAGTTCTTGAGAAAAAACTCTAATCTTCATCATCTAGAGATTATTTTTTTACAATATTTGTGTAAATTCAGCAGTATATTTTCATATGACATGCTGTTTGAAGGTTTTGCACCAAGACCTATAGTATGACCTCATAAGATAACTCTTATCTTCCAGCACGTTTTCAGATGAAATGTTGTCTGAAGGTTTTGCATGTAGAGCCCTCTCAAGTAGAAATTCTTATCAGTATCATTCAATGATCATTTATGGAATGTTGGTGAAATCCACCAGTACGTTTCAGAGCAGATGCTATTTGAAGGTTTTTGCAGTGGGTGACCCTTTATGAGCCTTGTCCCTCAGTCCCTTGGGGAGGGAGTCAGTCCCTTCTTGTGGATAACGCTGATTTAAGTTCAGAATTCCTATTAATTAATGGATTTTAGTGAAATTTGAAATATGTTATGTAGAAACCTTACTTCAATACAACAGAACACAAAATAAAGATATATGTTACCTGTAGCTTCAACCGATGAGCTTCTATGGGGATGATCTTGAGGACAGGAAGTTCCTGGATGAGCTGTTTGGGGTTCTGTCGAATGATGCAGCTCTCCTCCTTGTTCCAGGCTCCACCTTCTAGGTACAAACCATCCACAAAACAACCTGTAACCAAGACAACAATATAAAACAAACAGTCTGTAACCAAGGTGACAATATAAAATAAACAGCCTGTAACCAAAACAACAAAATGAAATAGCCTGTAACCAAAGTAATAATATATATCAAAAAGACTGTAACCAAGGGAATATGAAAAATGTAACAGCCTGTAACCTCAGCAACACAGTAACAAGATAACAGCCTGTAATCATAGTAACAACATAACAGCCTGTAACCAGGGTAACAACCAAAGTATATAACCATGGTAACTAACATAACAAACAGCCTGTTACTAAGGCAACAACATAAAACACATAAGAGACATGAAGCAACAAAGTTAATCATTCTTCAAATAATTTAACATAAACAGTTTGTAACCAAGGTAACAATATAGATGGTCTGTAACAAAGGTAATAACTTCATACAGCCAAAATTTGTATAGCCAGTGTTTTATATATGTACGTCCTGTACAAACCTTTATTGAAACCATTTTGGCTACTGCTGAAAATATTCTAATGCTGGCTACCTTTTAGTGCCTACTAAGACTGGTTCTTTAGTCAGAAACCAAAAAAAGGGTCTGCATTTGTGTGTTTGTTTGTGTGTGTTTTACGTCCTATTAACAGCTATGGTCATTTAAGGACGTGCTAAGTTTTGATGGTGGAGGAAAGTCAGAGTACCCGGAGAAAAACCAATGCCCCATGTACTGTAGGCCTCAATGCAAACCCACGTTCGATCGACCCAGTTGTGGAGGGCAAGTGGTAGAAGAATGTAAGACACCTTAACCACTCGGCTAATGTGGCCCCGGGCTACATATTAGCAGTGAATGTTCTAGTGGCCATTATATAACATTGTATGAAATGATTATTTCGTAAGATCCATACACGATATTTCACAAATTAAAATGATTTCCTGTAGGTTTGTCATTCACTTACCCTGATGAGCGCGCTCTGTGACATCTTCCGCAGATGACCACTGAGTAACTGTGGTGTAAAGTGTCGACTTGTCCAGTGGCCAGCCATTCTTACGACAGGTGGCCTGGACGAGAGCGGTCAGATAGGATTCGGGAATATGTAGACCAGACAGCCACATTACGCCTGGCTCTCCTTCATTAACCTGGATAAAGGATGGCAAACATAAACAATATCAAAATTTATCAAAACAATTGATATATTACAGTCTTATGAAAATTCTCTGTCAAAATAACACTTAATGAGATCAGAGCTATGCTAAATAGCAGTTAATAATATGTGGCATTATGTGCTGCGAATACTTTTGTTAATGTAACGGATGCAGGGTTTTACATCCCATTTTGACTTTGAGAGTCCTAGGGACCCCCTTGATTGAAAATGTGTGTGTGGGGTCCTCATAAATGATAGTTTTCAGTATTCATTGCTTTAAGTCATAAACATCATTAAAATTTAGTGACTGGAATTTTCTAAGTTGTCATTTCCAGGGGTCATGGGGACACAGGTGTTCAGATTTGAGGGGTCCAGTAATGGAAAATGGGAGTATTTGAAGCAGGATTCTGCAAAACCCTGAACAGATGTCATTATATTTTTAATGCCTTCACTTTTAAGGAGTCAAATCTGGGACCTCTAGTCTACTAGTCTTAAGCTCTACCGAATGAGCTAAAGAGAAATTCCCCCTAGCTGAGTCGGTGGGAAGGGACTAGTATTTTCCCAGGGTTACACCATCCTCGATACTCAAGGGGTTAAGCTCACTTTCGTCTCTGCACCCCTGGATATGTCTTAGCAAAATCGAAGGCTCGGTGTGCGCCACCTTGTGAATAAGACGACAAGACTTATTGGATCCTTTCATGTACATCAAAAGAATCTTGCAGTCGCATAATGGCAAAATTGACTGTCTTTGAAGTCGGGTGTTGCTCCTTTGTAATCTTCAAAGGACAGGTATCAGCCTACTTCCGGTGGGTTGAAATGGACGGACGTCACCAAAATGTCCAGTAAGAAATAATGATTTTGTGATTCCTCCATCTATATTACGGAGCTTGGACTGTACACGTTTATTATGGACAGTGTTTCTAAACAAACTGCAGGTATTTAATGCCTTTCCACTTGCCAAACATTGTTTTATCATTAATTAACATTGACGCTCCATGACCTGACCAGCAGTCATCCAACGCCATCTTTATCTCTCATTCCGACTCGCTGAACATTTTGTTACTTTACCCCTCTATCAACGTATTATTCTACACTCNAGTTACACTAAATTGATGGTCATCATCAACACACTGTTGCAATCCTTTTGCCAATGTGATAAACAAAACGCGGTCGCAGGAAAGGGGCAGGACAACAATTAATAAGAACACTACAAGTTTGGCCTGGACAAAACACAGAGAATAGGTTGGCCACCAAACACTATTGTGTGGAGACATTATCCTTAGGTATCCTTATGTCTCTATGGTAACAGTACTTACCCAGCCATTGTAGAGCTTGAATCTTCTCTCAAAGTGGAGCATCCAGTTTCCAAGAGACTTGAGAGTGACCGGTGCCAAACGTCTCCAAATAGATGGTATCATACCATTAAACAAGGCACGGGCAACATCGTCCAGCTCACTGCTCATTCCAACCTCACCAATCAGAGCCTGGAACACAAAGCGTCCATCCAATCAAAACTATGTTTACTAATATATAAAGTAAATGACAAAAATCTTGACAGCGTAAAATTGTAATTTCTCATGCCGACATTGTAACAAATCAGGGTTGGAATTGTATGTAGCGTGCATGTAGTACTAAGTCTGGGTGAGGTTACATATTTCAGCTGAACAAGTATCTTTTAGTTAAATATTGTAAAGATGATGATGATGATGATGATGATGATGATAATCTAATAAATTTAATGATGATGTTGTTATGATGTCATGATGATGAGGATATTTTAATTATAATAGAAATAGAGGTCATATAATTCAATGTGATAATGATGTGCACGTTTTAATGTGGGGATATGTCCAGTAAGGTTATCCCTGATTGGTTGTAAATGCAGTGACCGGCCAATGGAAGTGAGCACTGTTACAATGAAACTTAGGCTGAAATGACACACACTTATGTATGTTGCGCATCATTCCCCCCCCCCAAAAAACCTGATGTCCAAAATGCCAGGAAAATTGACCTCCACAACGATATTTTAACACAAATATCTACTTTCTCATATCATTTATTAATTAAATGTGGTATTTGATTATAATTTGGTAATTGCATCGTGATGCCTGCACTAGATTGTTGACCTACCTTCCTGAGAGTGGACAGGGACCTCCTCATGATGTTGATGAGGAGGTTAAAGCGATCCAGTTCCTGCAGCAACACAATCGTTGTGGGGGCGATATCAATACCATATTTCTTTTTGATCTTGTCCATCTCGAACTCCTGCGGAAGCTTGCCCAGTACTTCCTGTGCAATCTTGTCTATAAACTCTTCTCGACTGATTCCTCCAGAGGTGTCACCTGGTAGCATCATATCATATTTTAGATATTATATCATATATAAACATTTATATATATTATATACTGCTATTGTTTAATGTGTTAAATCTTGTAAAGGCATGGTGTACCTATATATAGGTCTGCTAGAAAGAGCTTTTTTTTCAATTTTCAGCAGTTGTGATTTAGAGATCATTTTCTCTTGTAAAACAGATAGAGGTTTCTTTTAAACGACTGTTTAATGGTTAATAATGTTGCTTGGTCCTTTCTTATTATTGCACATGTGACGTTTTATAAAGGAATTTGTTTTGTTTTGCTCCGGGTAAAAATGGTTTAAAAAGTTGAGGATTTTATTTTCAAATATGTCTAAATAAATGATTAAGCAGACGAAAAAAAAGGCATTAAAAAACGCCTTTTCATACTTTCAACGAGTACATTATGGAAATGTCGAACATTCTCTTACAATTTTTTGTCTGTAATTGTCCAATAATACCCAGAGTGAACAGTGTATAAGACTGCAGTTTTTACTTAGACTCTCTACATCAAGCCACTCATAATTAGCAGATGAAACTTTAGATTACATTGATATTAAGAAATTTTCTTTACATACTATTATTCATTTAATATCTAGAATATAATTTAATTTTTTAACATGTACAAGTACATATAATGATTTCAGAGCCAAAAGATAAAGGGTGGTTCTGGGTTCTGGAGGTATTAAGGAACCAACCAACTCTCGAAAAAATAAATTGAATAAAAACAAGAGATAAGAAACATCACAGCCCAACATGTCTAACAAATCGTAAGTTGAGGCACATCTACAAATTTGATCAACGAGAAACACATAATACATCTCCAGCACACACGCTGTCATACACACACAGGTAGATATTAGCCAGGTGGCATAGGACTAGTAGTTAGTGCCTGATAAGGCAGCTCCTGTGAATTCCTCAAAAATTGTATATCCTAATTGTATTAATTGTATATCTATGTACTGTAAAGCGCTTTAGAGTGGCTTATGTTAGCTATATCAAATGTTGTATATTATTCAGTAATGAGACACATGGACCTTTCACAAAATGTCATTTGACTCATCTTGTAGTTGACCAATGGTAAAATATACCGGTAATAAATGTACTTATAAAGATGATTTCATAGCTGGTTAATACATTAAATAACATTCATGATGTAGAAGGTGGATAAAGTTCTGGAAGTCCGTCGATGAAAAATAGATAGAATGAAAGCAAGAGAAATGTGAAAAACCCAAAAAATGTGAAAAGCCCAAAACGTCTAATAAATCGTAAGTTGAAGCACTTCTATAATTTTTTGTCAAAGAGAAACATTTATTAAGTAATGAGACACACGGACCCTTCACAAATTGTCATATAACACATCTTGTCATTGACAAGGTATGTTTTTTTTTTCAGAAATTATTTATGAAACCTACAGTCATGCCGTAAAAACCTGTTATGGGTATCCTTGAGGATGAACATACGGTAAACGTTTTTTTAAGAAATTGAGCACGTCTATATAAAATTATACAGCCAAACCTGTAAAATAGGTTTGTCAAGGGATACACCAAAACTGGCTGTTATAGACAGGGAGTCATGTCAATCAAGTACATTTTATTTTTTTGATGTCAATTTCAGACTTTGAAATGAAACTGACATTTGATGACACGTGTCTTCTAAGGCAGGTATGGTTGTATGTTACGGTAAGGAGATCAATGAATATGTTCACTGCAATAAACCACTCTAGTGGGTTCAAATTGAACATGTAGCATTAAGGTATATAAAAGATGACGAAAAAGTAAGTTTAAAAGAAAACACAACAACACGTGCAGGCCTACTCTCATCGGCTGAAAAGACATCCTGTTTAGGTTGCCTTTTGACTGGTTGCATGGTAAGGTCAGTAATTTCTTTATAAATCAGCATAAATTCCTCCCATATTCAAAGAGCTATACTTATAGGTACATATTGTAGTTATTGTTCATAACTTTGATTTGTCCTAGATTCTCTGTCTTATATATAACTCTTATATGAGAGGAGGGGGGGACAGGAAAAAGGGATCTTGGAGGTCTTCATTTGTACATGAGCAAGTGCTATTAGATTATGGGCAGGGATTTGGAAAACAGGCACAAAGTTACACAAGTTATATACATGTAGTAAATAAAATGTGCAGATATATAGAATACAGTATACACATAAATTATTTGCTATAACATAATTCATTACTATCATAAATGGGGATATTTTTTACAACATTGGCTCATTTCTGTGGATTTCTTGAAAAAGCGATGAGGTTTTATTTTTTATGAATCCAATTTTGACAAATTAGGGTTACGTGTTAAAATAATTGACTACTATATAATATCCCCATTTATGATTCTGAAATTTTGGTGTGAACAAATGAATATTGCAAAATTTTCATCAATAATTTCAATGAATTCAACAAACATACAATGGTATCAAAACCATGATGCACCTAGTCTCATTAACAGGAAATGGTGATTTGTAATCATTCCTTCATTCAGTTGTATAAAACATCCATGGCTTTTGGCACATTTAGAACGGGATGAAATAGACAAAATGATTCATGGTCAATCTAAATGTATAAAACCTGAGCATCATACCATTAACGATTGACAATACGACCAAGTGAGGGGAGAACTATGAATATATATATTAATGTGTACAATGTGTACAATGCAAAAAAGATATATTCCCGAGTATGTATAAGAACTAATGGTGCCATAGGGATATTAAAAGTTCATAAATAGTGACCAGGGCTAAATTTATTTTGGGGGTATTTAAATTTCTGGATTCACAAAACAACAATAGGATGACAATTCACTAAGCCTGGACACTATATGATCACTACGATCACAATCCAGCCACTGTTATTCTAAGTGCCTGATGTAACCTGCCTAGCTATTTAGTTTGGTAGCTACAAACATGTTATGTACATACCGGTCTGTGGCTGAAGTTCGATGAGATGTGCCCACATGTCTCGGGCAGCCTGTGTGTAGTACCCAATCTCAGCGTTGGGGTGGAGACCAAACACCTCAGGGGTATTAGCATGGGGAAGTTCCTCAATGTAATCTGTAAGCAAAATATTTAATTTTAATCTTAACATTAATTCTATTTCAATAATCATTTTCTTGAAATACAGCTGCAACTACATGGAGGGTAGTCCTTAAATTGTTCTTGTTTCATCCATCTTTTAAAAATATAAAAGTGAGTGGAGGCATAAATGGCGACCTTTGACCCTTAACCTTGACCGATAAATAGGAATATTATGTAGCAATTGATGTTACCATACTATGTAAAATAATATACACTAAATCTGTTTAGGGATTATTGGTTCATCTTATATACAACTTTTTTTACTACAGATGCACAAATGCATGAATGCACTAAAAAGCGCTTTCTGAAAAAACTTACAATAAGTGTGAGGGGGTATAACAACGTACTATCACATCGTTTTTTGGTGGGCTATAATTTTAACAAGGTTACCTCAATGCAACATCTAAACAATTATTGATCTTGATTGACAAAGCAATGGCCTGCCATAATAATAATAATAAAAAGCATATTCAAATTAATGAGGTACAAATGTATTTGAAAAATATGTGTTCGTTGCCATTAAGTTTCACTGCACAAGTAGTAAAATTTCCATGTTTCATGTTCAGACATGAAAACCTCTGTTATCTTTAGTTGAAAGCATATATTAACAAATATATACATCACTGGGTTCATTGTTAACATTTCTGTATGCTCTAGCCAAAAAGCCTATTTTTTAATACATCATCGAGCTCTTTCGTCGCCAGCCTGTACTAACCAGTATATACGTCACGGAGTCCATCGTCAGGGATCCTGTAGTCGACTTCCTCATTGCAGTAGAAGTGGAAAGGTTGGAACGTGTCGAAGATGAAATCCCCCATGTACTCATCCATGTAGGTGCCCAGTACGCGCCGATCAAAGTTGTCAATGGCTCGGCCTCCGTACATCACCTTCAAAGGCAGAAACACATTGGTCAACAGACAGGAACACACTTACAATAACTACCAGGTCACCGAAAGTACACTGTTCATCAAGTCAATGTTATAATGGTCACCAAGCTGTGCTTACAAAAACAATATCTTTTACATCTTTCAACCCATTCCGTAATTTTCTGTTTGATATTTTACATAGACACATAGATTTTGATACAAGCAAGGGGTATAATTTCGGATTTAGAAAATCCATTTCAAATGAATGCCTACCCAAACTTTAAAATATGTGTGTCTTATCATTATTTGAACTTCTTTTCCTCCTCCTAATTTGAATCGTACTGTAACAATGCCTGGGGAGACTGATAGAACAGATAAGGTATATAGTACAGTCCTGTCTATATGATAAGAAGGACAACGTTTTAAGTACTTTATGTATGTAAAATGGAACCTAAAATGGAATAACCTACTATCCCATATGTGCACCATAATGACTGGAATATTTGCACATGTATAAACTGGTGCCGTACAATTGAGTTATGGTTTTATATATACATTACACTTTTACCACAAAAAGTTTGAACGATGTGAAATAACTGAGCAAATTGACAGATGGGCAGACCATACAATTTCAAATTTATGTTGGAGATACAAATTCACAGATTTCAATCCTCTAGCAGTTAAATATGATATTAGATAAACATGTAGACTCAGGTTTTCACTGCAGACTGACCTCGCCGATCAGGTACTTGAGACTGTTCCAGGGTATCTTGGTCTCTCCCTGTTCCTCAGCTTTAGTCAGGTACGTGTTGAGGATTTGCATACACACACGGAAGTCAGACTCGTTGAAGTCGTACGATATGTTCCAGCCAATCTTTCCATACTTTCTCCTCTCTTGTACGACCGCGTGGAAGAAGGCGAGTACAAACACAAGGGCTGGGAAGGCTGGGTTGGGGCACTCCGACAGAGCAACTGCGGAAATCTTATGGTAAGTACCGCGTAGATTCAGCTTGAGTCCGTTGGGTGGCTCTGTCACAACCTATGAAGAAAGAGAGCTTCGCAATTATTCTACAATCAAAGAAATAATATAAAAATGAAAGTTAGTTGAACTTTAAGCTGGTATATATATATTTTTGTCTTTTTGACAATGTAAATCCCATATACAAAATGTACATAGTGTTCTATGGTGACCTCATGATAGACCCATCTTGTTATCTAATTATTGATAAATATATATATTTATTGACCCTACTTGTGACCAACAATTCCCCTAGCTTATCTATACTAACCATAAATGTCCTATATATTACTGTCAGACTTAAATACTTCCTCCGAGTAACAAATATATACACTGATACTAAATGTCCTCTGAACTTTTTTTGAGTCATGTTACCAAAACACTTCCTCTAAGTGACAAATATGCACCGATTCTAAATGTCCTCTGAACTTTTTTTTGAGTCAAAGTACCAAAACACTTTCTCTAAGTGACAAATAGATATACACTGATCCTAAATGTCCTATGAACTGACCTTGAGTGACCTCTGTAAGATGCCTATGGGGAAACTGGGAGTTGGTTCAGTGGTTAGCCAGAGCCGGAAGTCAGGATGAGGCTTGGTCAGTTTTTCCAGCTGCTTTTCCAGTTCCTTGAGCCATTTGACCAGTAAGTGACAATTTTGCAACATGAGCCACTGGCCACGGGCAATTGCAGTCTCCAGGTATTGCAGCGCCACCTATTGGTCAAAACAAATACAATTGATATATTTTTCAACAGTGTCTGTATAGCTGCGCCATGGTAATGCATTGATTTTAATAATATGTCTCAGCTCTAAAATGATAAAAGTTTCTCACATTTGTGTATAAATGAGATGATAGTCATACATCAGAGTGTTGACAAAACAGGGGCCCTTGTTTGTTTTACAAAGGCACAGATTGACATCATATTAAAAGCAGTATAAGGCTTTAAACAGCAAGAGGATAACAAGCAAGTTCAATTGATGTCCCCACAGACAATGGACCTGTCACATAGGTTTCTAGCATTGATTTACTTGCAAATAGTTACTGAATATGACAAAAAGTCTTCACCAAATTGACCTGGAAATATTATTCCGTGAAACCTATGTTATTAACAGTAAGAGCTATTTTATATAATAAAGTATTGGGTTGTAGGGTTTACAACAGTTGTTGATTTCTGTATGATGAAAGTACCCAGAAAGATTGTTGGAAATGTGGGAGGGTGCTAGTTACAAACAAGTACCTCCTGCCTCTTACGTTTTTTTTAATTTCTGGAAAAGTCCTTATCAAACAAACTGAGAAATTTAAACAAAGAAACCAACCTTTTCTTGACCTTGACCCATAGACAGGAACTTGATTTTGTTGGTGCCAAACTCGATTCTCTCAGCCAGTTTCACGAGGTCACTAGCAGGATCTGACCCCGGACTGAGGATAAAGACGATTGGAGACATAGGCGTACTCTGTTCAAATATAGCCTCAAAACTGATGATGGGCGGAGTGACGTACTTCTCTCCCATCACCTTGGTAACAAACTCCTCCACAGCACGGTAAATACGATCAACACGGAAACACCTCAGCAATGCCAGTTTCTGGAAGTCGGACAGGGAGTCCACGTATTTGAGCGGGAAAGGCTGTGACTCTGGTGTGTCATGGTCATACCACTGTTCACAGAACATCAAACAAAATCATTCAAACATGAGGTGTATAAACTATCAAACCTTTAAATGAGCTGCAAGAACAATGTCAATTTGAAGTAATTTTCCTGTGGTACATTTCATGTACAGTCAAACCTATATTAGAAGACCACCCTCCAGAGGTCCAAAAAGTGGTTTCTTTATACAGGTGGTCTCTTAATACAGGTTCAGTGCATATAACAACGCCTGGTTGCATGAGCAAAGTTGACTGTATTACAATAGGTCTGAAACAAGTTTTCTGATATCGTCTGGCATATCTTTAAACATTTAGAAACAACCAAATACAAGTGATACACAGAGAAAATCTCTTTTTCTATGATAATAATGAAATGTCCTTCTTAATATCTCACCTTCTTCCAGATTTGCTCATTTCTCTCAATGTCTTCTAGGATAGATCCAAACTTATCAGGCAAGACATCAACCAATCGAATGCAGTCCTCCCATCCCGCCTCAGGGAACCAGGCAAATGGACGCTTCCTCTTACTCTTTTCCAAAGCTATATTACCCTAAATGAAAGAGAATGAAATGTTATAAAATCTTTTCAATTTAAGCAAGGAAAAGGATGAAGAGTTAATCCATAGTTCCCCTGCTCGTGAAGAGGTACAATATCACATGTGATCTAATTTGACTTGGATAAAAGTTCTGAATTATGGCAATATGTCTAATTTAAAGTGGACAGCAACACATCCCCGTACAAGGTCCTTAACTCATTTACCCCTGAAATTTCATAATGAACTATTCCAACGATTGAATTGGGAGAGTTCAAATGTGTCTTCAGGGGTGAATGAGTTAATGATCTTGATACTGCTAATTAAACCTGTAAATCTACATGTGGGGATTGTACACAGGTTCAAATATTACAACCAGTGAATCGTTTATGTGTGACGTTTAGATGACTTATATAGTTATGTACTTTGTCACCTTTATCAGACAAATGACACAAAACTTATCAACATGAAGAAAATTATAAGAAAATTTTTCACTGATGAAGAAGTACTTGTTCTTTCATGTAAATTTCCCAAGAGTGAACCCACACCTAGCACACTTACACCTCAATAAACAGGTTCATAAGGTTTACTTGTAAGGAACATTTGGTAGCATGCATATGCAGAACAGTCCTTTTAAACATACTACCAATAATCTAGATTTTACATTATTCCAGCCTTTGTTTTAAGGAACAGATTGAATTTACTCCTTATAAAAATATCCCAGAAAATACAGACACCTTAGCCTATCACCTTTTACAGAAAGCGAAGCTGTCTAGATTATCTAGACTATCGAACTAGAGGCTTGAGAGAATGTCTCAGGAGCATGTTCAAAGTTGAAATGATTGCTAGTATCTTGGGGACTAATGGAGACTTACCTTGATGAAGAAGTCGAGCTCGGCCTGAGTAACTTTGCCTCTGTCCTGTTCCAGTTTGATCGTTATCTGGAAGGAGAACATCAACTTGTGCTTCTCAAAGATACCGGTACACCCGTAGTTGTACATGTTGTGTGTTAGGGTGTCCATGATGTTCCGCAGGCGTTTCTGTAGGATACTATCAGGCATGGACTTTCTGAGGGAGAACTCAAACACCTCCAGGTACGAGGCCAAGGAATACTGGTACATAGTGTTAATGGATGACATTTCAGCCAGGATGAAAAACAGAATGGCTCCACGTCTTGCTGCGGGTCTGTAACCATCACGTAGCTTGTCAATGTCTATGGCGGTCTTGGCTCCAAGCTTCAGTTTCTCCGATACCTGTTGTGAGAAATGAGAAGAATTTTTGTCATTTCTTCTATACAGGATACTGCATACTAAGTAATTTTTTTTGTGGCAGTGTTATTTTTGAGCTTTTTATGGAAGGATTTAACTATGCAGAAAAATGTCCAGTTCCAGATTTTAAAATCTAATTTGAGATTAAAGACAAACAGTTAGACAAAGTAAGAAATAAAGGGAACTTTACAGACATTGAAAATTGCATTACATTCACTTTATAACCTTGATTATTGTAAAAATGTTGATACATTAAAACATTTCATTATTTGAGGGATGAACAACTTAAATCGTTGATATTAATCAGACCTCCTTTAGAACATTGTACCCCTCTGGAGTTTGCCAATAGAACTTGGTAAATAAGTTCAGTTATGATTGCTCAGAGAACCCTACCTCAGTGGCCTTGGTCTTGGTCTCCTCCAGAGTTTCTATGAGCTCCACATTATCCAACATGTTGCCCGTAGACTGCGCCAGCTCTCTCAGCAGAGCGTCCTCAAGGTCCTTCAGCAGCTTCTTGTTGACGCTGGTCTCCTGAATCAAACGTTCCCTCTGCTCCTCAAGCTCTCGACGCTCAAACTTGACGATGACACTCAACAGCTGGTCCTCAAGACCCTGTGGAACAAGACAGAATGGATTAAATTGGAATCTAGTTAATTTGAACAGACATTGCGATCACAGCATTTCCCATCGATTATATCAAGGAATGTAAATAACTTTAAGCATTTATTTATTTCTGAAAAGGTTAATCATATTTTTTAAAACTGCTTTTTGTTTTAAGATCAATAACATCAATGATGTCTTTTGTGACAAAATACTATAGTTGAGGACTTATTTTCTCCAAAATTGTTCCTGTATTCCATAAGACAAGTACAACAGCTGCTAAAAATATGTATCTTTTGTCAATACTGGATAGGTTTAAATCACAGTCCTGCAGGGGGAATAATTATGATTTTTTTTTTATTAATAAATCAAAACTTTAGATTTTTAGGGAAAGCAACAAAAATATGTGGATGAGACTGAAGGCAAATTTATCTCAATCTTCCTCTTTGATGTAAATTTGTTGGCGATGAATACACCGATTGAAATTTATATCATGCGATGACTAAAAGTGGATGACCCTGCAGGTCAAAATAGCCAGCCTACCTTGAGAGTGACGGTGTAGTTGATGACCATAGACTTGCCAAACACATTGGGGGAGTATTTGGGGTTGGCCAGTTTTGTGTTGAGGTAAAGCCGGAAATTAGGATCATAATCCACTTCTTTATCTCCCAGGATGACAAACTCGCGCCCCTGTCCACCTGTCAATGTCCAAGCAAAGATTAGATATTTCAAAAACATACTACTAACTGGACTGCTTATCTTGAATGAAAAAATCTATATATAAATCATGTATATATATTTATATTGTGGTGGGGTAAAAACACTATTGTTCAAAGTTTTTCCTGGTAGCCTTTGTAAAATTTCTAAATGTTCAGTGTCGCAAAATTATAAATCATGATATGTACAAAGAAATATACCAACGAAACGTGAAATTCAACAAGTATCTATGATGAATTCATTATCTTACGTATTTTCTTTGAGTAAATGTTTTTACAGTGAAGTGCCATTCCTTTCTTTGTAAAACTTTAACTATTTCAAAACAGTTCACACAAAACGTAATCTGACAACACATTGATTACATAGTATCCACATAACAGTAGGATAAAGTCATTTTTTTTTTTATGAAATCATGCATTTTTATTTTAAATCTTACTAATGTTCATGCAATACCAATTTGAAAAAAATAAATTAAAAGCACTTTCAAAAATAATAAAACATAAATTATTTACCATTATCAGCCAAAAAGAAAATAAGGAACAAATATAAAACCAACGTAATACAACAAATAAGTTCTCTTTTGAACATACAATAAATATCCCAGTACATGCAAAATATTTAAAAATGCAACAGATGGACCACAAAACTACCTACCTCCTAAATCAGAAAAAAGATACAAAACAATTAGTGATAACAGATTTTATTCTGATTTCTTAAAATCTTTAAAGTACATTTTATAGTTAAGTATTGGTTTAATTTTGTTACTCTGGAAATAACTTTTTAAATGTTTAGAAAATGAACTACTTTACGAAAAATTGTGTGCCATTTACCTGGTAATCTAGAAATAACTGATCTCATACAAATTGTTTTATTTGCCATACCAAACACTTGTATGAAGTTAATGAAATTCTGTTGAGGAATTAAGTGGCTAGAGTGATGACAAAGTTTTTCTAAAAATAGTAACAGTGACCTTGACCTTCAATGCAGTATTCCGAAATGCAAACTTGTTCAAGGTATTGTCATTCTAAACACTTGTATGAAGTTTCATGAAATTCTGTTGAGAAGTGAAGACACTAGAGCGATGACAAAGAGTGTAACGAGTGTAGGGGCGAAATCCTATATCCCCTCGAACTTTCATTGCCAGGGGATAGTAAGCCTATTTGAAATGTTTGAAATTCTTTGGTAATCTTTAATCTGAGGAAAAACTTTTCATATATATGAACTTAAACACTAATTTGGCTGTCTTTGTTTCTAATTTTTACAACATCTGATCCTTATGACCTTGAAAATAGGTCAAGGTAATTAATTTGAACAAAACTGAAAGTCCTCATCACAAGCAAGCAACAGACCAAGTGTCATAACTATAGACTACAAAGTTATGTCAGGTTCATGTCGTGGAAAATTTGTGGACAACAGACAGATCAGATAATGGCGTAAGAGTAAGATACCATCACATAAGTTCAATGGCACTTCAGGCATGGCAAGCTAATTATAAGTAGATATGTTATGGAGCTTCCCACTCCCCTAATAAACAGCCAAGGTCAGATGACGACCTTGTGTATCACTGAAATCATATTCTCATATAACAATGAAAACAGTTTTCTTGAATTCATTCTTTTCTTTGTTATAATTCAATGATTATGCACTAAACCTTCAGGTAGGTTAGACAATGTGTTATTTATCTGTGATATCACGACAACTGACTTACCTTTGATATTTTTCTCGAGGACATTGTCGATGACAGGGTCGATGTACTCATCAACGTCTTTGAACAGGAAGGGGAAGCCGTACTTGATGGCGAGCTCAAGCTGCTTCAAGAAATCGCTGTCGTTGAAGGTACATACCTATAATAACATATATTTTAGATTGACATAAATATCTGGCTAAACCACTATTGAAATCATTGGATTTTACAAATGTACATTTTTATTCTGGTAATACTTTCAAAATTTTGTATCACCAGTCTGGTAGAAAGACTACCTGTCCTACCGGCAATTTAACCTTGGTTTTAGACCATCTGTCTATAACACTAGTCAAACACTGTTATCATGCCAAAATTTTGTCTGGTAAAAAAAGTGCTGGTAAATTGAGGTTTCACTACAAACCAAAAACAGAATTTTTAAATTATTGCCAAAAAAGGTTTTCTCCACGAAAAAGGAAATAAAAATTGAAAGCTCCTCAACTTTGAGGACACTGAACTGGAGCCTTAGAAGACTGGTATCCTAAGTCGTTTCTTCTTGTGGCCTCTATCTGTGAAGACATATCTTACCTTCTCGCTTTAGAGGCCTTTAGAAACTTATTTGTACAGGTATATGGAAGTCAATTACTTTTTGCAGCATTAATATTTTGCAGTTTTCCTGATCAGAAAGATTTTTCAGGGATAAAATTTCACACAACATTGCCAAGTAAAAATATCACACTCGTGAGAGTTATTTCGTATTTGGGTGTTGATATTTATTTTAAGTTTTTGTGAAAATGAAGTAAAACAAGATACTGTATTGAATTGTAGTTTTATTTTCATTATTTGTCAGTAAATGTTCATTTTTTGTGCCTCTATATATATATAAATTCATATTCACTGAAACTATAATCCATGGTACATGTATTAATATTCGCAGAGTATTTAATCTTACGCTACCTTTGGTGACCACAAATATAGAGAAATTAAATCCCCCGTGAATTTTTCATCAGCTATATACAGTACCATATTGTGAAACTGCTACATACGAAATACTTACCTTTAGATTGTTTTGTTCCTCCTTGTTCATAATCCACTTGAGAGCCTGTTGTTGAGGGTCAATACACATGGGGAAGCGACTGGCACGTGTAGTCAGGATACCGTTCTGTATAGACAATTCATCAGGAGGTAGGCCTTCAGACGTCCATCTGTTTACGGTCAAATTTACGGTAAGTTACAAGGTTTATAATCAAATTTACAGTAAGTTACAAGGTTACTGTAAGTTACAAGGTTTACGATCAAATTTACAGTAAGTTACAAGGTTTACAATCAAATTTACGGTAAATTACAAGGTTTATAATCAAATTTATTTCACTAGAAAATATACATATACCCCACTTCAATGGCCATGGAAACAAATTCTTAACTTAACCCTAGAAATGGAGCTTCTTGCAAAGTGTAACCAAAGTCAATGATTTGGAAAAAATAGGTCACAGTGACCTATATAATGGTGTAGTATTCCTCCAGATTCAGTATCTAGATCTTTTGATGATTGTTGGAATTTTAGTCCTGTAGAAATGGAGCTAAATGGAAAGTCAAGCCAAGATATTATACAGATGAATTGACAATGTAAAACACGATTAATGCCAAATTCTCTATGTTGTATGGGCATAACAACAGATTCAATATTGAAGTCACCAACTTACTTGCTGATCTCGACATCGTTGGTGAGCAGTTCCTCCAGTTTGTAAGGATCACTGAGGGGGATCTCCCGCGCACGAAGGTCCTTTTCCCAAACCTCGTATACTAAATCACTACGGAACTCCCAGCTAAATGCACCCACGTAACTCAGGAAGGCGGAGCCAAGCAGACAGTCACCCAGCAACTTGACACGCTTTATTTTAAGTTCCTCAAGGTCGTTTGTCCATCTGGAGAAATGCAAGATAACTTTTTATTTCTAGAACGATGCAATATCTTATCTTACTACCTGTCTGTATCAAAATATATATAAATATGTAGTTGTAATTTCTGATGTAGTACTGTATTTGTAAAATTGCTACAGACAGATCATATATATTAAAACATATAACTGCTGCTATCAAGCTAAAATTGAAATACATATATTATGTATACAATGTCCTGAAAAAATATTGTCTTTTGATATGTCAAAGGTCAAAATATTTTTTACCCAAAAGTGAATTGTTACCTGCAGATCGTCAAGGATAGATCCACACCTGTTTTAACAGTTATTAGTATATGTTCCCCCATTTCTGCTTGTATGGATACAGAGATGAACTGTGGTGCAGGAGTAGAACAACAAGTTCTCTCATCAGAGCAATCATGATTGATATTGTGTTATTTATGAAAGACATGTCAAAGGCAACCTCACCTAATATTTTCATGTCCAAGACCAGAGATGAGTTTGTCAGCAGCGATGAGACGACGCTGCATGATGGCCGCCTCTTCCTCAAGCTTCTGTTTCTCAGACATGGCCTCCTCGTACTTCTTACTCAGGTCATTGAGCTCCTTCTCAAGGGAGGCACACTCGTTGTTGATTTTGTCAAGGTCACGCTTGGCCTGGTGGAAACTTCTCTCCAGCTTAGCTACCTGTTAATGTTGACAAGAGGACATCAGCTATGTAACGTTGCATACAATGTTGTTTTTTACATAATTCTCTGAGAACTAACACATAACAAAGTGATTTTATTTCTTTCTGTAAGACATGAACGCCCCTGTTGGACCTGTGATTGCCCTATAAATGACCTTGGCATTGACCTTAGAATCCCTAAAGTATATGGACTCGTATGAGGTATTCCCGTACTTGACCTTTGTTAGCACATTGGATGATGGATGTCCTAAGAAGTTTTAACAAAGAGTAGATAGTGGAAAAAGTAAACGTTCTTACCAAATTATTGTAATATTGGGAAAGTGGATTGAAAGATGAATGGGGGGGTTGGTGGGGTGGGGTGGGAGGCTTCTGGTTTTACTGATGTCCCCCAATTTATTGTTGTGATTCTACAATATTGGGAAAGTAGATCCCGATAGAAAAATAGATGAATAGGGGGT